TTACTACAGAGAACATTTCTGGAAATTCAAAGTGAATTTCAAAATTAAGTTAAAAATAGCCAAAGTAGAAAAAATAGCCAAATCATTTCTGTTTTCAGTTTGACTATTTTGGTCTTAAATTTGAAATCCACTTCAAATTCCTAGCTGATTCTAACTTTTAATAAATAACCCAGAGTGTTTACAGACAGTTCCCAGAGATGGAAGTGTACATTATTAGCGCTGTACATTGTGCAGACTGCAGAGATATCCTGTTCATAACATGACCAGGGATCCCCTTTTAATATGAAACCCTGCACATGGAAAATAGAAATAAAAATGTAAAATGCCAAATTATTAAATATAACAATTTAGAAATCTTCAAAATTCCAAATTCAAACCAGCCCCTTTAAAAAACAACGTTACATTACATTGGGAAATAAAAGGTTGAATGTGAAATAAAACAAAATTACCCGTAGGATTTTAGTAGAATTAAAATGTAAAGCATGTAGTCAGGTGAATATGTGAATACCCAGGGCTTTGCAAGCTTTGTAAACCTATTATAAACATTTTCTTCTTTTTAATTAGTGAATATTAAAATAAATTATTTGCGTTCTGCAGACAAGAATGTTATGCAATTTGTCTACTAGCCACATAGGCAGCTAAAAAAATAAATACAAATAAATTAATTAAGCAACTAGGAATAAGATCCCCTACCAAAGCAGAATTGTGTGGTTCCTCCTATTCCCTTCACATCACAGATGGCCATGTAAGGGTTAATAATTGAGTGGGTGTGGAACCACTTTTATTAACTCTCACATTGCTATTTTTATATATCTCAATCTTCCCCAGCCAGATGTTGCTAAACTGTAACTCCTATGATTTTCTGACAATATATTCCATTCAAGGAATTCTGGGAGCATTAGGCCTTCAATATCTAATGGGCTACAGTCAGAGATCCTGGATTTAAATGCTTGTGTGATCAGTGGCCAAATATTAAAGGGACACTATAGTCACCAGAACAACTACAGCTTATTGAATTTGTTCTGCTGAGTAGAATCATTACCTTCAGGCTTTTTTGTTGTAAACACTGTCTTTTCAGAGAAAATGCAGTGTTTACATTACAGCCTTGTGATAACTTCACTGGCAACTCCTCAGATGGCTGTTAGAGATCCTTCCTGGGTCATGGCTGCCTAAAATGCATCCAAACATTCAGTATCTCCTCTCTCTGCATGCAGACACTGAACTTTCCTCATATCATAGAGATTCATTGATTCAATTCATCTCTATGAGGAGATGCAGGTTGGTCAGGGCTGGGTTTGAATTGTGCTGGATTTGCCTCCTTGTCAGTCTCAGCCAATCCTATGGGGAAGCACTGTGATTGGCTCAGAACGCCACTTCTGCTGATGTCAGCAGGTAGTGGGCAGGTCTAAAGGTAACAGGGACAAAGTATGCAGCTGCAGACTTGAATACAAGTAAGATTTTACTAGATTAAGGGAGGCATCAGGGTACCAGGGGGGCTAGATTGTGGTTTTAATACTATGGGTTCAGGAATACATGTTTGTGTATTTGCTCCTTTAATTTGGGAAAATAGCTCAGTAATCCATTCTTACATGATTTGTAAGCTATTTTAATTATTTCAAGCAATTTGGACTGATTCGGATGAGTTCCAATCCAGATGAAGTTTGGTAAATGGCAGAGGATAATAAATTGAGTGAACTAATTTGATAATTTATACTCCAGACTACCCATTTATTTACTGAGTGATATATATTGTTCTACTGAATACATCAATCTTTACAAAGATTACAGTAGAACAGAATCAACGTTTACAGCTCATAAGTACAAATGCAGAAGGATGAAATTTAAAGCTGGCCAGGAACTTTATTCCTTTACAGAGTGAAAATAAATGGTGGAGTAAGGAACAATAAGTGGGGCATATTTAAAGTGACACTATAGGCATCCAGACAACTTAATCTCAATTAAGTAGTCCGATTACCATGTCCCTGTCGCTTTAACCTTGCAACTGAAAATATTGCCATTCGGCAGGAACGGCAATGTTTCAATTGCACGGTTTACATGCCTCTAGTGGCTGTTATACTGACAGCCACTGGAGGCGCTTCCACCGAAATAGCTGAGTAAAACACGGCTATTTCATTTAGATGGTCTCATACTTGCCCACATGTACACTAACTTCCCTATGCTTTCCTATGGTAGAGCATTGGATTAGCTGATATCATCAAGATTGATGATCTTGTTCAAGATGGCATGCCAACAAAATGGGGACAGGCACAAAACCACAATCTAGCCCCCCTGGTCCCCCGTTGACCTCCCTAAATATAGGATAAACTTACTTTTGTTCATGTCTGCAGCTGCTGTCTCTGATCTGCCTGTGTGGCTGACATCATGAGAAGTGGTTCTCTAAACCAATCACAATGCTTTCCCATGGAATTGGCTGAGACTGTCAAGGAGGCAGATAAGGGGCGGAGCCAGCAAATAGCCCTGGCCAATCAGCATCACCTCATAGAGATGCCTTGAATCAATGCATCTCTATGAGGAATGTTCAGTTCTCCATGCAGAAGGTGGAGACACTGAATGGCAGTGCTGCACAGTGTGCAGCACTGCTCCAGGAAGCACCCCTAGCAGCCATATGAGGAGTGACCCGTGGAGCTATCCCAAGGCTGTAATGCAAACACTGCATTTTCTCTGAAAATACAGTGTTTACTGTAAAAAACCTGAAGAGAATGATTAGACTCACTAGAACAAATACAATAATCTGTAGTTTTTCTGGTGACTATAGTGTCCATTTAATTTACAAATCAAAATATATATTTAACATAACTGTAAGCTTTGCTTGGACCAAAGTAGTAAACAGATTTGCTCTTACAGCATATGTTAAAAAGGCCCTCCAGGTTGGATTTAATCAATTTTTAATTAATTAAGCAAATAAAGTGTTTTTAAAAAAATTAAAAAAATACGCTCTGGCAAGATGAAGGAGAAAATGTAAGTAAAAAGATTAGAACTTCTAAAGTAAATATACTGTGGTGTAAAATTTGATTGAAAATATATTTTTTATGGAGATATGGAAGTTGGAGCTAGGGCTGTATATACAAAGTTATTTAACTCCTTAACTGTGGAGAAATGAAAAAACTATTTATGTACGTTTAAACTGAAAATATTATATATTTACAGGAAAAAATAGGAGCTATTATGAATAAGGAATGTTAGATGATTGTAATTTAGCCAGTCCAGGTATCAGATCATTGTATAAGATTAAAAGATTATGGGATTAACTGAAGAATTACCGCTTAACCGTTAAATACGCTCATTAATTTCTTCCCGAAAGATTGTTAGTTGTGTAGCTCATTATGACGCAGTTACAAAAGGAAGGCATGGACGAATGGATCTTAAAATTATTAGATTTAAGTTTTTTTGTTTCTGTTTTCATTTTATTTTTTTTATTCTATTTTAATTGAGTGAAGTAGCTAAATGAACAGACCATGCATGCTGTGCTCGTTACACTTTAGCTAGACAGCAAGATGACAAGCAGACAGAAATAGCTGTTTGTCTTAACCAATACTGATTTTATTCCTGGGTTAGCTTGTTAAAACTGCAACATAAATAAAACAAACTGGCATCACACTCAGCATACTTGCAATGATAAATACATGCTATGTTAAAAAAATTAAGAAAACATGCAAGAATGGAAATCTTCAACTTAAACATATGCATAACAGTCTTTAGCAAATAGTTGAGTTTACAGGCATATGTGTATCCAAAAAGCAAAGGTTAAAGAACTGAAATGGCTGCTCCAGACCGGAACTACACTATTCTCCATTAGCAGGTTCAGCGTCACACTTCCTATTGTCACATGACGGCCTATCGGACCTACACTGCAGCAAACAATCGCTATATAGGGTGCAAACATATTAACTGTATTGTTGACCGTACACCATTTAATTTGTCAAGTTAGCAATGTAGGTAGTTTCATAATTTCTACATATCATTTGTCGGCAATAAGTAACATAAGTGCATCCTCTAAGATAAAATGTGCAATGATAAAAGAATAATAACATATAGGGCATAGCATGGGAAAGATACTACCCAATGGGTTAATGCTAAAAAACTGAATTAGTAAGAAAAATATTGTAGGAAAATGATCAGCCAGTAAAAAGTAAGGAAACAAAGAAACGACTGGAAATAAAATCAGGAAACACTTAACATTACCGATCTCTAAGTGACAGTCTCTGTGGTCAGGTCTTCAGAGCTTGTAGGCATATCTCCATGACTATCTAGAAGTCTAGAGACTAGTTTTAAAGAATGCAAAAGGGCTTGTGACTCCGAGATAAGCCAAGTAAAAGTATCTTCCCCGAAGGCCAACAAGGAATGAGGGGATCCTCACTGGAAACGCAGACATGGGGTGATGGGCTTTATTGACTGATGTTATTAAATTTTGGATTAGCATAAGTCCAGTAGAAACATTAAATAATGAGTTTCAAACTGGTAAGGTTGTTTCCCTTCTGTGGCACCTATTATCGCATTCTTTTCTGCCACATTTTGAAATGTTATGATAACATCACAGAAAGCTTCAACAGGAGCTGCCAAATTTACAATTTTTTTAAAAGTAAATGAGAAAAATAATGGATTTAACTTTTGTTGATCTGCAACATTTGATCACATACAATGAATAGATAATATTACAATGCTGGCTTTACATAAGTTTTACTCTATCCAGAATGAGAGAAAGGCTAAAGACCTCGGACATGCGCCTAAAGATTACCAATGCATCACTACTCTGTTGAAAACGATCTGAATACTATCCAGAACCGTACTGACCTAAAACCTAAATGCCGCTACACACCTAATTTTGCGAGCTTCAGGAACATCAAATTGTTTTTGGAAGCAGCCAAAAGTGAAATTGAAAAAATTAATCTTAAAGCTCTCCAGAGCCATTCAAAGGGTAACCTCCTTAAAAGGGAACAACGCGCTTTAAACCAGCTGATAAGGGGGGGAATATCATAGTAATGGATGTGGATAAATACCTTGGAATGGCAGAACGAGTTCTAAGAGATGTTGAGACATATAGAGTTCTGAAGTATGATCCCACGGATGAATTTTTGTTCAAATACAAGGAGATCCTTGAAGATGGCCGCAGTGGAGGGTTGCTGTCGGGTGACGAGTATGAATTTATTCTTAATCGTCACCCTAAGATAGCAACCTTCTACTGCTTGCCTAAGGTTCACAAGAACCTTGATGAACCCTCGGGAAGTCCAATTGTCTCAGGGGTCAACAACCTCACACAAAACGGTAGCCTGTATATCGACAAAGTTTTAAGACCTCTTGTGGAAACTCTGCCTTCCTACATCAGGGATACAAAGCAAGCCCTTAATCGACCTTCGAATCTTAAATTTTCTCCCACTGCTCAACTATGTAATCTTGATGTAGAATCACTTTATTCGTCTATCCCCCACGATAGAGGAATCGAACATGTGGGATTTTCTCCTACACCTTCTTAAGTTTATTTTGTCGCACAATTATTTTTTGTTTAATAATAAAGTTTACCAGCGAACCTTCACCTGGGATGGTGGGAACTTCAGATCCGTACCTCGGATGTTCTGGTAGAATACTTACCCAAGATCTTATGGTGTGGTCGCTACATCGATGATATCTTGATTGTTTGTCAGGGCACCCCTCAGGAATTTTTTGATTTGGTGACATTACTTAACCAGAATGATGAAAATCTTCTGTTTACATCTGAATATGGAGGACGCTCCATTAATTTTTCAGATGTGACTATCAGTATTAAAGAGGATGGTACATTCCAATCCACTGTTTAGGAAAACCGATGGCCACCAACTCTCTTTTACATTGGGGGAGTTGCCACCCGCGACCCCTTAAGGAGGGTATCCCGGTGGGCCAGTACCTTCGTTTTCAGAGGAATTGTAGTGACATCCAAGACTTTAAAACGAAAGCAGGACAGCTTAGGAAACACTTTAAGGAGAAAGGTTATCTGAACCGCTGCCTGAAGAAGGTGTACAAAAGAGCACTCCAAACTGAGAGGAGTGAATTGCTGTGTGATCTCCCAGTGAGGACATTTGACGTAGGCTGGTCAGAAGTACGTAAGTCTCTTGCTAGATTCTGGCCCATCCTGTTGAATGATGTACATCTTCAGGAGGTTCTGGGTCCACGTATCAATATCACGGCCAGACGTGGACGCAATATTCCAAACTTGCCGGTACCGAGCCATTTCACCACTAAACCACAGCCGTGTGTCACCTGGCTGGGAACCCCCTCCATGTGGCACATATGGCTGTGGTAGGTGTGTAGCTTGTAAGTACATTTTTAAAGGATCTAAGACGGTTAGCGACAGTGCAGGACAAGGCTCCTTCAAGATTAAGAGTTTTTTTTAACTGTAATAAGAAGGGCCTTGTATACCTGCTGTCGTGTTCATGTGGACAAAAATATGTGGGTTAAACCTCTAGGGCCTTTAAAGATAGAATCCTGGAACATGTAAGGTCCCCCAGGAACTGTCTTGAGGCACCTATTTCAAGACATCTCAAAGAATACCACTACGGTGATCCCAATAATCTCAGGTTCTGTGGACTAGAATTGGTGAGGAGAAACCCGAGACGTGGAGATTTTGATAAGATTCTAAGACAGAGGGAGTCTAAGTGGATATATGAATTAAAGACAGTTCAACCTCTGGGTTTGAATGAGAGCTTTTCTTTCGCCCCGTTCATTTAACCATTGGTAATAAGGTCTCTCTATATACCTGTATCCCTCTCTTTATTTATTTATTTATTTATTTATTTTTTTGATTGATTTTGCCAGCTTAGTTTATCGTGCTTTACCACTCATTTCTTTCTAGCTTATTATTATTTTTCTACGGTACATTTATTGAGATTTAAATATAAGAACAAGGGGGGGCGTGGCTAACCGCCGGACAAGATGGATGTCTAATCCTGAGCTCCGGCGCCCGGGCTAAGAATCCAATGCCATCCTAGCACACAGAAACGGGGAAAAGAGTGCAACAACAAGATGTCACAGCCTAAAGCGAGGAAGAATGCTTCCCGAGCGGAAAAAATGAATTTTTTTGGCCCCAAACCGAGTCAAGCCATGAGTGACTCCCAGCTGCCTAATCAAGATGGCGACGAGGAGGCCGAACAAGGGGATCTTCCACAGCCTATTTCAGGCAAGGAGGAAATACTCACCCCGAGCCACCTCACGAAAGCAATGGATGCTTTATCCCACAAACTTATCACTGCATGGCAACACTCAATGGACTCCCTCCGCAAGGACGTCCAAGAACTAGGCCGCAGAACGGCACACATTGAAACCAAGATGGACGACTTCGCGACGGCCCACAACGACATGGCGGACCATGTGGATGTTATGGCGGACAAGATAACCCTCATGGAACACAAGCTAGCCGACCTAGAAGACCGATCGAGGAGAAACAATCTCCGGTTAAGAGGTGTGCCGGAATCAGTCTCACAAACAGAGCTACCGGCCTATGTCAGAGGATTGATCCGAGCGTACGGCCCTGAGATACCATCCGACATGCTTTTGGTAGACCGAGCGCACAGGGTCCCGAAGCCGCGCCATATACCTGACACCACACCCAGGGATGTTCTAATCCGCATTCATTATTTTCATATCAAAGAACACATTCTCCGAGAAAGCAGAAACAGGAATGCGCCTCACGAGGACTTCCCTACGGTACAGCTATTTGCCGACCTCTCCGCTGCCACACTTAGACGTCGAAAGGAATTCGCCCCAATAACTGATGCTCTCCGCACCCATGGCATACGATATAGATGGGGGTTCCCAACCAAACTCCTTGCACATAAAGATGGCAGCTTTAAAACCATTCTGTCGCCAGAAGATGGATTCAGGAAATTAAAAGCGTGGGGCATCACCACACAAGAGAATGCCGAAATGGACAATGCACGAGCGGGAAGACTCCGGCTGGAGTGGACGAAATCGCCCACCAAACGCTAAAAGCTGCATAACCGGGAGGGCCCTCCGCAAGTATTCTGAGCCTGATAGCTCACAGCATCACCACATATAGCCCCTACCCTCGGGCCCCTACGAACTTCTTAGATACAAACTTTATCCTCCCACATGAGTTGCATAAGCTATCTTGAAACCGGTGGGATTCGGGTCTCGGGTGCCTCGACCTGCCCGCCTCCCTCCTTGTGGGGGGGCCGGTGGGGGGATGCACCCCGGGATCTGAACGGTTGTGTTACTTCAGTCGGGGGGGCTGGGGGAAATGGCCGCATAGCTATCTGGAAACTCTAATGTTTGCTATGTGACTGAGGTCTTAAGCTCCTGTTTGAATCTACAAAGGGTAAAACTTTATTCTCACACAAGAGATTTATAAGATAACTTGACACCGGTGGGTAATCCGGTCTCGGGCGCCTCGGCCTGCCTGCCTTCCCCCTTTGGGGGGGCCGGGCGGGGGGATGCGTCCCGGGATCTGATCGGCTGTGATTCCTCAGTCGGTGGGGCGGGAGGAACTGGTCACGTGGCCATCTGGGAACCTTATTGTCTACTGTGTCACTGAGATCCTGGACCCTTGTTTTTTAAATCTACAAATGGCATAACTTTATTATCACATATGGGTTATACAAGCTAAATGGATGTGGGTGTGGACTCGGGTCTTGGGCGCCTCGGCCTGCCCGCCGCCCTCCTTGGAGGGAGCCGGGCGGGAGGACGCGTCCCGAGATCTAGTCTGATGTGCTACCTCAGCCCACGAGATTGGGAGACCTGGTCGCATGACTACCCACAATTCTGCTGCCTGTTGTGTCACTGGGATCCTGGGCCTCTATTTAGATCTGATAGCGGCCAGTGGGCAGTTGGGGGGTGGCATTGGGGGGGTGACGGGTGGGGGGCGCCTTGGCCTCATCCTCTCCGCCTAGAGCGGGGCGGGGGACGCTGATGTGCTCGCGCTCAACTTGAGGGACCGAGATGGGGAGGTCATGAGGAACACTGAACCCAGAGTAGGTAACTTTGACCCCTGACCAACTGCTTGTTGAAACACCCCACCGCCCCGAGCTGCCACCTATGGACATTGCCAGCCACTCATAGACTCGAACAACCCTTTCTGTTCAAATCAAGTGTGATAACACTAAAGCCCGATAGCCACACGAATTGGAACTGATTGTTCCTACCCCATGGTGCGCAACGCACGCACCAAAATTCCCTTTGGGAATACATATAAATACTCCTTCCCTAAGTTCACACCTAACCCCAACCTGCACCTACCCGTCCAAGTTCTGAAAACCCTCACACGGCCTTCAACTACCACCGTAAGCCGACCATATGCACATTATGTCATAACAGCCATTGCAATAGCAATACACTTATTCTTCAAAATTCATAAGAATACGCTCCATTAATGTACGCGGCCTAAACACGTCGCATAAGAGGAGAATCCTACTAGACACAGCAAAAAAAGACAAAATAGACATCCTATGCATCCAAGAAACGCACTTCGTACATAACCGCATCCCCAATTTCGCGGCCAAGGACTATCCAACCCAATACCACTCATCACACACTTCTAAAGCTAAAGGAGTCTCAATACTACTACACAGCTCCCTCACGTTCGAATTATTGCAACTCAAGAAAGACACTGGAGGCAGATACATCATTCTACACTGCATTATTAACAATAAAACGTACACGATAGTAACAATCTATGGCACAAACTCCAACCAAAGAAACTTCCTACACCACGTACTATCTAAGATACCGACACCGCAATTGCCTCACTTGATACTGTGTGGAGACTTAAACCACGTTTTACACCCTCATATGGACACGACAGTGCCCCCACACACACGGAGACACGCATCCCTCACACCCAAATGCAAGGCGCTTACCAAGCTACTTATGGAATATGACATTTATGATGCTTGGAGAACTAAACACCCTAACAGTCGAGAATACACCTATTTCTCACCCATGCACAAGACGTATTCTAGGATCGATCATGCTCTAGTAGCCCGCTCACTCTTACCCTCTATAAAAGATTGCCATATAGGAGACATAATATGGACAGATCACGCCCCAATAGACATAACCCTAATGGAAAGCTTCCCACACAGGGGCAGAACCGCATGGCGGCTGCCTGACTACCTTTTACAGAACCATGACTTCAAAACAACGCTGCAAACAGAAATTAGGTCATATTTTAACGCAAACGACACACAAGACATCTCCCCTGTGACACTGTGGCAAGCACATAAAGCTGTCCTAAGGGGCATCGCAATAAGCAAAGCAACCCACGTTAAAAAGACAGCATTACAAGAATACAATACACTACTTAAAACACTAAGAGATCAAACCAACGCACAACTTCTCAAACCAACAGAGGCAGGGTTAAAAGCTATATCGCAAACAAACAAGAAACTTAATGAATACCTACTAGCCAAGACAATGTCAACATTGCAAAGGCTCCAGGCCCATACGTACTGCCGGGGTAATAAAGCGGGCAAAGCTCTGGCTTCCCTCCTGCGCCACAAACAAAGCCAATCTAAAATCCCATATCTAAACAAACCAGATGGCACAAAGGTTTTTGACCCACAAGACATTAATAATACCATGGCACTATACTACGCCTCGTTGTATAATCTCAATCAAGACCCCAAAACGCATCAACCAACACATCAGGAAATAAAAAATGTTCTCTCACAGACCACACTTCCCACGCTAACTATAGACCAACAAGACATCTTACAAGCCAAAATCACCCTGACAGAAATCACAGAAGCCATCAAAGCCCTCCCACTGGGGAAATCACCCGGTCAAGATGGATTCACAAACACTTACTATAAAATCTACGCTGATCACCTAGGACCATATTTACTTAAAGCTCTGAACCACATCATAGACTCAGGAACTATAGCACCAGAAATGCTTCTAGCTCATATCGCAACCATACCCAAACCTGGTAAGCCTCCAACTGTACCTCAAAACATGAGACCCATATCCCTGCTCAATACGGACACAAAACTTCTCGCGAAAATATACGCGAACAGGGTATCGCGCATGCTTTCCTCCCTAGTGCACGAGGATCAAGTTGGGTTTGTTGCAGGCAGACAGGGAGCCGATGGCACAAGGAAATTGTTAGATCTGTTGTGGAGCGCGCGGAGGGGGAGGAAACCCAGTGCATTTCTGTCACTTGATGCTGAGAAAGCATTTGATAGGCTTCACTGGGGCTTCCTCTCGGCTGTCCTCGAAAAATTTAACTTCCCCCCGAGATTTATGTCCCTAGTCTCAGCATTGTACTCTAAACCGAGCGCCAGAGTAGCGAACAGCGGATTCACTTCCACAGAGTTCCCAATTACAAATGGAACGAGGCAGGGCTGCCCCCTGTCCCCCTTACTCTATGTCCTGGCACTGGAGCCTCTGGCACATCTCATACGCCACGACCCACATATCCGAGGAATTGAGGCAGGCAAAACTGAACATAAGATCACAATGTTTGCAGATGACATAATGATATCACTCACAAAACCACACACCTCACTGCCAAAGGTCGCAAACTACTTGCTGTCATATAGCACCTGTTCATATTACAAATTAAATGTCACCAAAACAAAAGCAATGCACCTTTTCATGCCAGATCAGACACTCAGCACTTTAAAACACACATATGCATACCAATGGGATAACAACAATCTTACATTCCTAGGCGTAGACTTCCCTACCAATCCTCAACATTTATTCCAAGCCAATTATGACGTGTTGGCCAAAGAAATTAAGCAAAGGTTATCTACCTGGCAAGGGAAATATGTTTCCTGGCTAGGCCGCATAGCAGCTACAAAAATGATTCTCTTACCCAAATTGCAATATCTATTCCGCACTCTTCCTATTGCACTCCCACCACATTACATCGAAGCCTTGCAAAAACTGTTCAATGACTATATTTGGAATTACAAAAAACCTAGGATAGCAGCCGCGACACTTTACAAACCCTTTAAAGAGGGAGGTCTGGCTGTCCCCAATATCGGCAAGTACTACATAGCATCACAACTGAACCCATTAATCTCCGCATGCTACACCAAGACCCGACCGACCTGGCTCAACATAGAAGCACAATTCACTGATAATCATGCACTCACAGAACTAATGTGGCTTCCACGGCACACAAGACCCAAACACAACCACATGCTACCTACCACGTCTCTAACTCTTGCTATGTGGGACACATATCAGAAAAGGCACAAAGATTACCTCTCCATCTCGCTAACAACCCCTATTATGGCAATAGCGACTCTATTACCTACTTTCTCCGCGACCATATGGACCGCGTGCGGAATACACCAAGTACAACAACTCCTAGCTGGCCAAAAAATGCACACGTTCCAACATCTTCAAACCACATTTGGATTACCCAAATCCGCCTTTCTCACCTACCTCCAACTAAAGTCCTGGCTCACAAAGCAACTACCTATAACGACTTCTGCACAAGGCAAAACAACGCACCTACATACACTACATCTTACAGACCTTTGTATCCAACAAAAAAACCCCACCAAAGTCATTTCTACAATATATGCACTCCTCACAAGACAACTGCCCACTGGGAAACCCTCCTTTGTCAAAGCATGGGAGGCAGATTTCCAAAAGACACTGGACCAAAACCAGTGGACAAAAATTTACTTAGCAAACAAGACGCTCACCCTATGTAATGCACACATTGAACTAACCAGAAAGGTCCTCTACCGTTGGTATATGGTACCTGCAAAACTCAAACACATAGACCCAAACAAGTCAGACTTATGTTGGAGGTGTAAAATGGCCTCCGGAACTATGTACCACATATGGTGGACGTGCCAAAAAATCTCAAGGTTTTGGGAATCAGTGGGGCTAGTAATTAAAGACTCAACGACGGTAACAATCCCATTAAGCCCGGAGATATATCTTCTCCAACTCCTTCCAATCCACATGACAAAAGCTGCAAAATACTTAACTTACCACGTATTAGTAGCAGCTCTATCTACCATCAGTAGAGCTTGGCTCTCTGAAGCTCCCCCTGACATAACTTCTTGCATCCAGATAATCCAAACCACCAAGACATATGAAATTATGGCTAGACAAACTAGACCCCTCAAACCGTTCTGGAGGGAAGCTTGGAAGCTTTGGGACTCAGGCCTACTCAAACAAGAAACCCTGTCTATGTCTAGAGCCACACGCTCCCCACCCACACATCAGGGGATCAAGGCCACCTAAGGCTACCTAAGGAATAATACAGCTAAACGCACCACACACCTCAACCACACGGCATATGGAGATCGAAAGCCAATCCCGCTTCCCCCCCCACCCCCCCCCCTTTCCCATCCTATGTTACTTCACTTCCCTCCCCCCCAAGCTAGGTATTACAATGAGTATAATGTAAAGGTCAAGCGGCAATTGCGCAGCCACCCGAGCTGCACGGAAAACAGTGGGGCCTAAAGTAACACAAATGGAGCAGACCGCGAAATAATTGAGCAATGACACATTGTGAATGAGCAAGCTGAAGTTTATGCAAACCCCTTGCATTTGGTTCACCCAATTGTGGCCTGGGCGACACACTGTGCCGCACTCTCCACTCTAACAGCAAATCTCTTTTCCTTTCCTTGATAGGAGCGTAATGTGTTACTTCAAACTACCGCATCCATTGTCTTGTTGTTTCATTATCTTGTTGTCTCATTGCTGTCTCATCTCTGCAACTCATGTAACCACTGATGCATCTGTATCATGCGTAACCTTTGTAACAACTGTACCCATTGTTATCCTCTTGCCTTTTTGCTGAATATAAACTCAATAAAAAGATTGAACATAAATATAAGAACAAGAATCCTGTTTTTCCTCCCCCTTCCCACTCCTACTCATTTTCTTTTGGGCCGTTCTCTATATGGTTCTATGGATTTATGCCATTACTTATATATTAACAGACACCTGCCCTCTATATGAATTGGCATTTGTCTGATGACATTCTGGTTGGCCCGTATCCAATAGGGCGGTTTTAAGGCTTTTTGTGTAGCTGTATCTTCTTTGTTTAAGCAGGGTAATTTATTTAGCAGACTGTTTGGTGAGATTTTTAAATTTATAAATTCTCACATAGGCACCAGGATTCCGGTTTGCTTTGCTCTTTACCCCATTTAGGTATTCTTATATATGCTATCCAAGATAAAGTGTAAACACATGCGCTTGTAATTTGATGAACACATCTAGTTATGTATCTCCGTGCGCAGGCGCCAAACTTGGGCTCGGACAGGCACAATATTTTTTACAAACTTGTACATTGTTGCACTAAGTCCCCGCGCATGCGCCGACACTCTGGCATGGACCTGCGCATGGAACATAGCATACTCCCCGCCAAATTCGGGGATTAACAGGCAAACATTATTGGAAGATCCGCTGTAGCGACGGCCCACAATTGACAGGTAGGAGCGGGTTATGAGCTATTTAACGTGAGGGGTGACCTCTTCATTCAATTGTTTGCCCTTGAGAAAGGGCGAAACGCGCGTCAGGCTTTTCCGACGCTGTTACTTTTGATTTTATTATCTTACTAGAGTACTGTGTCTGCAGTTTGTGCTGTGCCTATATGAGACCTTGGTCAGCCGGTCTCTGTATCAGTGGAGGCATTTGGATATTTATAAGGGGTGTTTACAGTGGAGGAGTCCTTTCTTTACTCTGGACCCCCCTGGAGATCACTTCTCTCCCTTTATTCTTCCTTACACACTCCTCTCTGTCCTTTCGATTTCCTACTGTTTTATGGATAGGACAGTTATCAATACATTATAGGCTATTTAGTTAAGGTTTGATTATTATGTGGGATTTTGTATTCGTTTTTGCGCTCTGGTCTATTTACTGGAGCACAGCACATTGCTTTTCTGGCACCTATTGATTATCTGCAGGTTGTGTTCCTGTGAGTCAGCATTGCAACAGTGTTTCTACTTATTATACAGGGAGTGCAGAATTATTAGGCAAATGAGTATTTTGACCACATCATCCTCTTTATGCATGTTGTCTTACTCCAAGCTGTATAGGCTCGAAAGCCTACTACCAATTAAGCATATTAGGTGATGTGCATCTCTGTAATGAGAAGGGGTGTGGTCTAATGACATCAACACCCTATATCAGGTGTGCATAATTATTAGGCAACTTCCTTTCCTTTGGCAAAATGGGTCAAAAGAAGGACTTGACAGGCTCAGAAAAGTCAAAAATAGTGAGATATCTTGCAGAGGGATGCAGCACTCTTAAAATTGCAAAGCTTCTGAAGCGTGATCATCGAACAATCAAGCGTTTCATTCAAAATAGTCAACAGGGTCGCAAGAAGCGTGTGGAAAAACCAAGGCGCAAAATAACTGCCCATGAACTGAGAAAAGTCAAGCGTGCAGCTGCCACGATGCCACTTGCCACCAGTTTGGCCATATTTCAGAGCTGCAACATCACTGGAGTGCCCAAAAGCACAAGGTGTGCAATACTCAGAGACATGGCCAAGGTAAGAAAGGCTGAAAGGCGACCACCACTGAACAAGACACACAAGCTGAAACGTCAAGACTGGGCCAAGAAATATCTCAAGACTGATTTTTCTAAGGTTTTATGGACTGATGAAATGAGAGTGAGTCTTGATGGGCCAGATGGATGGGCCCGTGGCTGGATTGGTAAAGGGCAGAGAGCTCCAGTCCGACTCAGGCGCCAGCAAGGTGGAGGTGGAGTACTGGTTTGGGCTGGTATCATCAAAGATGAGCTTGTGGGGCCTTTTCGGGTTGAGGATGGAGTCAAGCTCAACTCCCAGTCCTACTGCCAGTTCCTGGAAGACACCTTCTTCAAGCAGTGGTACAGGAAGAAGTCTGCATCCTTCAAGAAAAACATGATTTTCATGCAGGACAATGCTCCATCACACGCGTCCATGTACTCCACAGCATGGCTGGCAAGAAAGGGTATAAAAGAAGAAAATCTAATGACATGGCCTCCTTGTTCACCTGATCTGAACCCCATTGAGAACCTGTGGTCCATCATCAAATGTGAGATTTACAAGGAGGGAAAACAGTACACCTCTCTGAACAGTGTCTGGGAGGCTGTGGTTGCTGCTGCACGCAATGTTGATGGTGAACAGATCAAAACACTGACAGAATCCATGGATGGCAGGCTTTTGAGTGTCCTTGCAAAGAAAGGTGGCTATATTGGTCACTGATTTGTTTTTGTTTTGTTTTTGAATGTCAGAAATGTATATTTGTGAATGTTGAGATGTTATATTGGTTTCACTGGTAATAATAAATAATTGAAATGGGTATATATTTGTTTTTTGTTAAGTTGCCTAATAATTATGCACAGTAATAGTCACCTGCACACACAGATATCCCCCTAACATAGCTAAAACTAAAAACAAACTAAAAACTACTTCCAAAAATATTCAGCTTTGATATTAATGAGTTTTTTGGGTTCATTGAGAACATGGTTGTTGTTCAATAATAAAATTAATCCTCAAAAATACAACTTGCCTAATAATTCTGCACTCCTTGTAGATTGTTACATCCCTAGGAAACCCATTTATGCTACCACAGAACTAACCAGGCAGTGTCTGGTAGCCAATTTACTTGCCAGTACCTAGTTTTTTGGTTTTTATCTCTATTACTTGGATATTGTGTGTGTTTTGAATTTTCAATAAAGATTATTTTTGTTTTTCCTGTAAGCTTCTATACGTTCTTTAGGGGTGGTGCCCTGAGGAGGATCCCCCTGTCTACGTACGAGGTGATTTCTCCCCATTTTTTTTTTAATATTACAATGTTACAGTGAAATTATATATTTAATAAATGACAGAGTTGAGCATCAAAAAGAGGTTATGAAATCACAAAAGCAGGAATAAGAGTAATAAAAGAGGGATACAATACTGAAAAGAAGGAAAGAGACATACAAGGGGATAAAATATACAAAAGGGGCAAGTTGCTAGGTAAAGGTGGCTAAAAGCGAAATAAGAGACACATGTGCCTACGATGGATTGGAGGGGGTGGGGGTGAAATGCATGACCAGAGAGACGTTCATGGTTAAACCATTGGAAACTATAAAAATGTTTGTCTTTTAGGTATGAAGAGACTAAGAGTTAACACAAAGAGTTAAATCAAGAATGGCCTTAAGGTAGATCCCTAGCAGTTGAACATCAACTTCCATGATGCTTTGTTAGCTTTATGGCTGATTAATGGACATTGTAGCTGCAGTTTGGCAGGGTATACGTGTATTTTTTGTAAACAGTGAAGCATTTAACAAATTGTTTAAACTCACACTTAACAAAAATCCACTGACTTTAGAAACCACTACAAGAATCATTAAAATGTGAAACAGACTCCAGCAGACTTCTCATTAGAAGTGAAACTAAATCCTAAGTGATATCCTGGAGCTGTGCATGTTAATACAGACACATTTTATAAAGTGGAAATGCTTTTTGTGGAATATGTGTGACGTTAATGGAAACTGCCATGTGCA